TTTTTAACGAAAAAGTATAACTCATCTCCAAAGCAGAAATCTGCAAGAATAATAAAACAGCAGTAGATTCAGTTGGTACCTAACTTGATATTCTTCTTAATATACACAAATTAACAGAATTTGTACACAAGTTTTTGGAATTGTCACGAAAGTATTCTTATGACTGCTGCTGGAAACGTAGCGCCGCCGGCTGATCGGAAATTTCATACCATTATTAATAATTTAAACTCGGCTTTGGGTGCATTTGTCCATAGTTATTAACAGAAGTCCATTTCATAAATACTACCACAATATTGTTCATAGATAGCAGCAAAACATCGTGAGCTGAGCTGCCATCTGTGAACATGTAGAGTAATAATGTTAGAAAGACACTGCGCCTGCAGACAGTTACTTGTTTCCTTTCGTTTCTGAACTCTTGTGTCTCTGAGTGAAAGTAGGTGAAACGCGTAACGTATTCTAACCTAAAATACGACAAATCGGAAGTCTTATAACCTATCTGATACGATATTTACTTAACGTAACTCAATTTGAGTAGTTCTTGCTGTGTTACATTTCAAGTGCTTGAAGGCTTTACTCGATTTGTGTACCCAACAAAAGAACACCAAGGCCACAGCAGCACGCACTTGAACGGACAATCATCGTAAAATCTACACGACTGTAAGTATATACACGTTTATTTAATGTGACTTGTGTGAGCTGAAAAACCAGGTTTCGATACTCTACAAGGAAAAATATTTATTTCCAATAAGACATCTGAGACCTGCTCTGTTGTAAAGAAAGCCCCATATTCACTCATTACCAGCTGACGATTAGCTCGGGGGTAAGCGGTCATGTTGGGTCACAGTGGCATAATGGCAGGTTATGAAGATATTTGGACATTTCGGATCTATATAAATAGTATTTGTTTTTGTAAATGGTAAAAGCACTAGAAGAAATAATTGTAATGTGTTATTTAATTACTTATTTACCTGAAACGTAGAGAAGATCTCAAGATGCATGAGGCTTACGTGGCGTAATACAAATCGTGAATGTTTTAGGAATAAAAATTAAAGTAAAGTTTGTCCCACTATACGCCATGTAGGCGTTTGGGGTGAGTGGTCAGCATCACGCCCCGCCCGGTTTTACCCCCGGGAAAGGATCCCGGTACCCATTGTAGAGGAGGCTGGGTGGGGTTTTGAAGGAATAAAGAAATATTAAATAAGAATTACATAAATCTCAATACAGTACGTATAAAATCATGTGCAAAGATTACAGAAGAGAATTCATTGCCTTAAACATTTCTGCTTTGCGAAGCAATTTAATTTAAATTGACTGCACCCCTTGTTCTCGGTTCGGCTCGCTTCTGTCTTGTTATCTCTTACACAGCCCATCAGATCTATTCTTCTACTGTAAAGTTATTTATTATCTTCGGTTACGAGAGGGATATTTTATTTAGTCCTCTCGTGAGATTTAAATCCCAGTTGACTGTATTAATGAAACCTTTGCATCAGGTCAATGCCAATAACAATTTTAAAAGAAACTAAAGAAAGTTATGTGTTTGAATGCTGTGAAAAGGAATCTAGCGCTAATGCAGACGGAAATCTCGACTCAGAAGCTAAATGGCATTCGTTCGTAGTATATATGAAGTCATGACAAACATGTTGAATGTAGAAACTTACCCAAAAGTTGGGTTTATTACAAATCTCTACATTGAATTCATGTGGCATTTTAAAGTCTCCGCAGAAAATTTAGAAAGCTTAAGATTTTAAAAATCAAAATATCAGTACACGTTCCTTCGTATTTATTTTTGCTTTATTTATCTGCGCTGTTAGTAGCCAAGATTGTACAGCACTGAGAGGTGAAATAATTCATGAATAATGAATTAGGATATGAAAGGAAGTGGCCGTGGTGTAACTTTAGGTATTGTCCGTGCATTTGACTGGGGAGTGTAAGAGTGTAGCTAGGAACCTCATACGGGGCAACTGGTCTCCGCGTCAATATTTTTAATCAGGGACCCTCTGAACTGGAAGCACGACTGTCAACCACTCGTCCGCGATGTTCGGTTCCCTTCTTCCTCTGTTCCTTATACACTTGTCTTTTACACTTTATTTATTTACTTCTTCCTTTCTTTCTTTTGTTTGTACTTCTT